CCAAAAAGTTGATGCAGTTCTCTCCAATACTGAACTGCTACGTGGTACAATATACGGAGTTAAAAAATCTACGTTATAATTTTGAAAATAATGTTAATACTAATTATTAACGACAATTTTGACAATATTTAACTGACAAAGAAATCAAACTGTATTTAGATTTTTATTAACGTTTGTATTTTTTTTTTTAATTATGCATTCATGAGATCACTTTTTGTTTATTAGCACAGAACAAAAACACTAAGCACAAATTAATCACTCAGGTCCTGCAGTTTTATAACCACGGTAACCATTTAACATTAAAATGTCTGGAAAACAAAGTTACCGACCTAGTTCGCAATATTATTAACTATATCAGAATAGGCAATGCAGATTTACCTAATCTTCAAGGAAGAAATGCAACTGTGGATATTACCTTCCTCTGAAATGGAGGAATTTCTGTAGAGCTAAAGCAAGGCGAGACTTGATTCTTTTCTGGTTCCTGGCCACTTACTTTCAAAATTCTTACTTCTACCCTAAAAAACAATCATCGAAATCGCTTCAAAAATACCGGAGTAATCTCGTGACATATATACAAAAAAGTACAGTCGAGTTGAGAACCTCCTCTTTTTGAAGTCGGTTAAAACTATTTTTTTATATATATTTTTTATTATATCGACCCCTCCTACGTAAAGGATCGTATGTTGAAATTGCCAAGTTTACAGGGGAGTATTTGAGAGTTCTGAATTCTCTCGTTACTCACATAGAGTGATCGTCTAATAGATCATCTAACCGATACCTAGAATTTTATAATACTCTATGTGAGTAACAAGCTTTGCGGAATAAAACTGAGAAATTCTAAAGTCACGTATTATGCTTATTTCAGTGAATTCAGAAGTTTAAAACGCTCCCCTGTAAACTTGGCAATTTTGACATACGATACTTTACGTAGGAGGGGTCGATATATTATATATATTTATTTTATTGAATATCATGATATTTTTATCACCATTCACACCACGGCAAAAAGCTGTTTAAACCGCAATACAAAGATCTGCAACGGGCATAATATGCATAATTCAGAGTCAAAACTCTATCTGTGGCTCATTTGGTGAGAATGACGTCGAATCGAAGGAATTTTCCTAAGATAACTATCTTGTTTTGTTTTTAAGCCTTTTCTCGTTAATTATTCCGATATTTCAGAGGGAGGTATTAACCACTCAATGTATATTACTTGGGTTTACGTAAATAATATACTCTGTCTGCTAATCTCTGGTTATTACGCTGACGAGGCTGTGCTCTTGTCCAAGAACCCATGAACAATAGATAAGGTCAATTTTGCACTGCACCAGAAGTCATGTGACTATAGTCTGTTTAACACATCGTCCCCTTAGCATGGATGAACGTAACTTACAATTTTGACACAAAAAATATTTACATAGTTCTAGTAAGAGCTCCATGAGTAACGTTCCAGTTTTACTAAAAGTTTATGCAGCTTCTGCGTGCTTGGAAAGGTTTTTTATTTTGGAACATTGTAAAAGATAAATTTGAACAAATATCTATTTACAAAGAGCAACCTATAACGTGTGCCTTTTCAATGCAAGTATGAATAGGCATTATTTACGTGTGCATTGTCGACCTCATCGTCACTTGCCAACAGGTGATATTGAGGTCAAATGCGCACTTGTTTTATCATAAAAAAATCCCTTAACATTTGTTACTCGATCTTCTCAAGGGTATTATTATATCTTCTCTGCCTTATGAATAAGTAGCAGTATTTAATAAATGCGGCGATTTAAGTGTAACTTAACCTACGAAATAAAGATATATTTAACTTGAATAGATAAATAACGTTGTGATGAGAATATGTATATTAGCAAATTTTCGTAGACTCTTCAAGTGAGCATGTTTTAGGTTTTAAAGACTTTAAATATTTACATCCTGTTTTACAATTCAACAAAATACCGGCATTTATGGCATTTTCTTCAATTTACAATTGTTACGACCACATTTATTGTTACAATACCGTCCGCTTACCATGAATGGTATTAACTTATAATTTTAATATAAAAAAGAACTACTTAGTTCGGTTCATAATATGAAGTTCTGTTTCGTGATGTAAATAAGTTATTTTTTGTAAAAATTGTTAGATACGCAAATTAGTGCTATAAGGGATAATATTTGGTTATTTTGTCGGGCACTTTTAATAGTAATACCTAGTAGCCTCAAATCAATTGGACGTGCCATTAACGTTATAAGCGGGATAGCATGGTTAACGATTCAGAGAATTCCTCCCGCACTAACCTCGTGCTGTCGCAGCCCTCATGTGTCTACCTTATTGTACAAACATATCATGAAGACATCTATACAATATAGCAGTTTCTTTAAATACAATTTAAACCCTTTTAAGAAACCTATTTTAAAGAACACAATGTAATATTGCTGAAGAATCCGCTCGTCATACATTTTTCTATCAAAAAACTTTTACGTCATTTAGTTTAACAAGCGCGTGGTTGCAACACTATCTTTTTTTAATTTGTGGCACGGGTCTGAGTGAATTGTCAGTTATCGCGAATATCAACCACCCAATGCCCGTTGGCAGCACTGTTATATATTTTTAAGAACATTTTGTTCTGTGCTGTTTTTTTTAAACGTCAGAAGTAGATAAAGGTACAGAGATAAGAATCCAAATATTCCGTTTATGAAAAAATAAACGCTCTGTATCGCTCGGTATAAGGTTACAAAACTAACGCTCGTATCTTTTTTAAGTTAGATCCGGTTATGACCGGTATTTGTATGGAAGATTTCCGGGTTCAATCCGGCTTTTGGACTTTCTAATTTGAGGTTTAAGTACGCGTTGTGCTTTAAAAAAAGTACTGAGACAGTGTTTTATTTAAAACAAACAAGTGAAATGGAAATTGTGCTAACATAACTTCTTGCTCCAAGTTATTTGAACTTTAAACATACGAGTTGTAGGATGTTAAGTGGAAACGCAATAAACAACTAACTACGTATGGTTTAAACAATAAAATAGAGAGCAGAGTACCGAATTATTATACACTATTTTTAATTTTACAATCAGAAGCCCGCTTCTAATTTAACATTCAAAAGTTACATAGACAATTATATATACATATATTCTTTATATAGACCGACGTTATTGTTTTATTTTTAATGTTTGATGTCTCTTATTTAACTTATAGGACTTTTCAAACAAGCATTTAAAAGGACAATTATAGTTAATGGAAAAAACAAATGCGTTGTCGCCGGCGACACTTATGAAAATAGTTGTCATTGTAAATTTCTATCCATTCATTCACTCGCACAGTCATTCATTCATTCTTCATAAGATTACTGATTTGAGTGAACTCTATTGAAATTAAATTATATAACAAGGTTACGTAGCAGTATGTTGTTAGCTCGTATATTACGGGTCCGCCGTATTGAATTTGTCATTATCTGGTTTTGTGGCAGGAATATTTTTTTCAATGTATTTGATTATGTACGGGAAAAATTAACTTTGTAGTCCAACAAAAACTTATTACTTATATACTTATAGGCATTAAGCAAAGTAAGATTGTAAAAATGCTCTCGTCTGAGGATCGGAATTCCATACAAAATACACAATTTGTATGAAGAAACCGTCAAATGCCGTCTATAAGTGTGTCTTGATCCTTATTGTAACTTGTATTATAAGAAAACTGATTTTAACTGAGTTTGTTATACCAGACGAGTCCTCACACAAGATATGGAATATTTTTGTTCTAGAGTATTGTATTATTAACAGTCTTCGTATTTCCAAATGAATAATGAGTCGTATATTAATACCATACGACGCACTTTTCATTTGCTAATTCTAGACCATGGGGATACAATGAAATGGACGGTATCAATTTCTATATAAAATAGACGCCTATCCCGAAAATGCCAAATTCATCAGAAAGATGGTTTTAAAAGTAACCAAGGCGTATCAGTCGCACACAGATGTTGACGAATCAGTTCATAGTTTAACTAATAATAATAAGTTTAAGAACTATTTCGGTGTGACCCTCTATTCTGAAAAAGTAGCGAAAACTGTTTAGTATTTCAAATTAACTTGTAGAGCACTCATATAAATGTTTAAAAAAATACTACATATCGACTATTGCATCCGAAAGACGTATAATTGTTACTATAGTCCGTCTTTTTGGAGGACGGAGTAAAATGACATATTATGCAAGATTGCCAGTTGTCATATAATTTGAAATAGTCATATAGTTGTTGCCGACAGTTTATCGATAGAATGTTAAAGGTAAAATTTTGTAAAAATGTCCGAATTTTAAATTTAAATGTTACGATGTTCTGATGATTACTTATTGCGTTGTCGGCCTACTAATATCGAAATCAATTTTCATTCATATACATTTTAATAAAAACGGATTTGATTATGATCTATATTGAATTTAAATAAAAAACTAATAATGAAAAAAAAAACTAAAAAATATGTTTCCCCTTTGTATTTTTAATGGACATAGATAGTTCTAAATGCAGTGCATGTAAGTAAGAACTTGCAAAAATAGACAATTCAAATGAACCTGTGCCAAGCAGTTGGACGAATAATGGGCCGATAATAATTGAACTGAAACAAGCTCGGTTATATATTTACAAGCGTGACCAACACTCGGTCGATAGTTGATGAATATTAATCGACTGCAATCACTAGCTGCTGGCAAGCGGGCAAGACTTTCGCACAGTGAACTGCCATTTTCCTCCACCTTCAAAAAAGACAGACTATAATTAAAAAGTTTATTAACCGAGCCCTTCGCGATTATTGCACTTTGGAAACGAAGCTTTTTTTTCGAATCTAAACCGCGAATATTTGATTTTTCAAACAAACCAACGTTTCGGGCCCTTTCCAGGCTCTTTTCCTCTTTCACGGGCCCTGTAAAAGGTTACGTTGTTAACTGACCAAAAGTTTTTTTTTAACTTTTAAAACAATACCTTCAATCAAATTGTATATGAGGTATTAACGCTATAGGGATGTTACAGATTGCAATACAATAAAAATAAATTTATAAATTAGTCTTTGTAAGGGCTGAATAAAGTTAATAATTCAAGATACCAAAATCTGGAACCACAAGGAAGACAATTAGCACAATTTCCACGACACAATTAAAAAACAAGTACAAAATAATAAATTAAACAAAAAATGAGATCAATGTCCATACAAAGACCGGTTCTATGAGTTCTAAGCGTCGGAACAGAGTTGCTTCGGCGTGTAGACTGACGCGTTGGGATCCAGCGGGGAGCTCTCCAGGCGGAGTTTGGACACCGTGCCACTCACCGGGGTCACGAACTCCGTGGGCATCACGGCCAACATTTGCGCTTTAAGCTCTTCTATCTCTTTTTCTTGCCTCGATATTAGACCTGGAATTAGACAAGTTAGTTACGTAATTTGTTATTTTCCACGAATTATCACTGTCACAGAAACGTACAAAAAATTATCAAAAAAAGTACAAAAAATTATCAAAAACAGTACAAAAAATTATCAAAAAAGTACAAAAAATTATCAAAAAAAGTACAAAAATTATTAACGCCATCTAGCGGTGTAACCGGGGTAATGTCTTAAGATAATTCCATATAAAAAATGTCAACGCCATCTAGCGGCAAACCAGTATAACGCCACTTTCCACATTCCAACACTCGATTAATGACATATCGTCGGTGATAGTGCAAATTCGCCTATGTAGTATTGGCTTAGACTATGGAAACTAAAGGACATGTTATGTTGATATACATAAATCAGACGTTATATGTATATGACGCATTTCGACTTTGAAACCATAAACATGTTGTTGTCTTTGTTTAACCATTGCGCGTCGTCTTAAGCCAAAAGAGATAGCATTACGTTGGCCTGTGTCAAACACGGGAATCGAAAACACGTAACGTCATGTTAAATGCCAAATGTGTCCATCTCGCAGTATCAGTCGCATGATACGTTTGTAAAAGAGAAATACATTAAATATCAAGACAAATGTCTTCCAAATGTTTTATTGAATTATTAGCATTCATTGTAATAAAATGGACAAAAATATTGTATTAATAAAAATTCGTCGCTGCAGCATTACGGGATGTAGCATTAGAAAAAGCTAATATCGTACAGGCATGTGTTATTTCTGTCTATAAATCACACACAAACCCAAATATCTTATGTAATTAGACATATTTAAGTAGTTTATTCATAAATTTTGCCACATTTCGCTTTGGTTTCTTCGGATTGCCTGTTTGTTTGTATATTTTGATGATTGATGTTAACGATTATTTTGAGATAGTGTTTCGTTTAGTATTCCGTTATTAAATAATTCACCACGAGGTTTTTATTTTATTATTATTATTTTTACTATTTTAAGTTTACTTACAAATGAAAAAAGAAAAAAGAATGGTTGGAAATCATAGGAGTGCCGAATATAAACATTGAATCAAAAACCATCTTCATTTATTCGCTTCATTTTGAAGAGTCAAATTTTAACATAACTTTAATGTAACTAGATTACATGATAATGCAATTCCATCATTAGGTTTATTGGTAAATAATTTTATGTTTAATTTAGATTAAACAAGACTCATTTACTAGGCATTCTCAGTTCCTGAAAACAAAATTATCCACTTGTTTCCAATTTTTTCCCGCTGACAACTCTAACTACTAAAAATTCTTATTTTATAAAGGTAGCAACACAATGACCATGTTGGTCCAACGTTCCTGGGTGAAGGCCAATACCAACGTATAGACAGCCTATTTGCCTTGCCTTGCCTTGCCTTGCCATCGTTCGGTATCATTCACCTAGCTGACCGAGTGAAGGCGAGCGCTAATGTGTATAGAGCTCGTTTGACGTGGCTTGTCACAACTCGCAGTTGCTCGTGACTACTTGTCTCACTTCGGAGAAGTGTCGATTTTTCTGCACAAATCAAAGGCGCTCGGCCAATAGTAGTCAATTGACATTGTATAATCAGACATTTGCATGCTATTTAATATATGCGAAACATGTTTATACTAACACTGTCTCTTGTTACATCTCCTGTTATACCATGTTTTAAGCAAATAAACGTATGATAATAATATTATTGTTGATAATATTACTACTTTCATTTATTTCCATAATTTAATAGAAGTATTAAAGATTCACTTAAATCAGTCACTGATATTAATTCTATTCTATACCAATGCATAAATACAAAAAAGCTTACACTATTTGGAAACTGTTTTAAGATTTCTCTATGAAAATATGAACGTTGAGGTTGGAAATGTCTGGGAGATTTTATATTTCAAAGTTTTCTCTTTTTTTATATACTCTCAAATGATTTTTTTTCTGTGCAAATTCACTTTTCGAAATATTTGAGTATTTGTAAACGCAAAACAATAAATTCAAAATTTCATGTGACATTCCCGGATATTCCCATATAACCCAAAATATTCCCAAATGGAATATTGATCTACTTTATTTAAATGTTTGCATGTCGATAATGACTTATCGATAGATTATGGTACGACACTAAAGAAATCCGCCTTCTGTTCGTTCAATTTTTATTTAGGTATGCACGTTCATTCCGTAGTTAGGGCTGCTCCTTTCTTTTATTTTTTTTCCATCCTTTAAGAGTATTGGTAAAAGGCGCCTATCTGCTCCAAACCAAATTTTACGGAGGGATTTAACGTTATTACGTTGTTATTTCAATGGCCAAGGCTTTAATTTTTGCACAGTAAGCATTAATTTACGTTGTCCACGGACTGATAACAATAGATTCCCGTAAATCACGCTAATTTGGTAGCCACGACATATAAGCGTATTTGAATTGGCGACTAAATTACCCAAACGGAGACTTGTAATCAAATGCTAGGTACGCGTAATTGCGCAACCCCCGACGATATATTTGATTTTGAACGCACGGGACGAAGAGAAAGACGCACCTTCCTGTATGTGCATCTGCCGCTTGGCCTCGCCCAGCGCCGACAGCAGGTCCAGCTTGACCCTGGTCTCGGCGGAGAGCGAGCGCTCGAGGTGCGCGGCGCGCTCCTGCAGCGCGGCGCAGGCGCCGGCCAGGCGGCTGCTCGGCGCCGCGCCCTCCTCCTCCAGGGACCGCACCTGCGATCCGTCCGCCGTGTCACTCTGCCCCGGCCTCCGCCCGGCCCTCCGAAGGCACGCTCCCGTACCTGCTCAGTGGCTCTCGTCAAGTCTCTCTGCAGCTGCTCCGCGCGCTCTCGCGCCCTCCGCAGGTCCCGCCGCATCGCCGCGGCGTCCGCTTCCGCCGCCACCTGCGCTTCCGCTGCCGCCTGCGCCGCTCGCCGCGACGCGCACCACGAATTTTCGCATTCACCGCTTCTAAAGTACATATTTATATTAAACTTAAAATTGGAATAATTATTAATGCAAGGTCGAACACGGAAATATTCCTTCGATCCGGCCGGATTCAAACCGACGTCTTCTAGCATACCGTGCCGGACGCTATACGGACTAAGTCACGAAACGAACCAGCGGACCTCACGAGTTTTTCTGTGTGTTTTTGTTTGTCGTGTCTTTGTATTTGGCTTTTGAAAGACTTTTTAGCCGTAGCGCTTTCTATGAAAAATTTTAAGTATTTCGTCGAATCCGGCCGGATCGAAAGAATTTTTTCTGAGTGTTCGATCTTTGTATTAATAATTATTACAAACTAGTGGAGCAATTTCACATAAAAAATAATTGAATATCAATTTCATAAAAACTTATAATTGGATTGATAAACATGGTTATTGTGTACCAGTTGGGTTTAGGCTACAGTTGGCCGCACTGATTCAATACAAATTGGGGACTTACTAAACATTCACAAATGTGCATAACTTAGAAAATGTGCAACGGCTGGTTGAATGAATAAAGAAACAGGCATGAGAGGCATGCGTATAAAAGTCAGCACTCACGCATTCTGCTGCTGCTGTAGCTTCTGCTGTTGTAGCTGCTGCTGTTGTAGCTGCTGTTGCTGCTGCTGCTGCTGCTGCTGCGAGTGCGCGTGGCGGGCGCTGCGCAGCTGCGTCTCGGCCGCGGTGCGCGCGCGCCGCTCCTCGCCCAGGCGCCGCTCCAGCGCCGCGCGCTCGCTGCTGCGCCACGTCTGGAGCCTGCAACGGCAATGCGCTATGTCCACACTGGACCTTGGAACTCCGCTGCTTCTGCTACCAGCTGTTACAGCTTTGAGCAGTCGCTCACTGATCACTATCCAGTAGTCAGTCTCAAGTACTCGCGACTGACGAGTGTATAATATTAAAACTTCAAAAATCAAAGTATTTCTTCCTGCTTATATGATTCTGCAAATCATCTTCATAATTGAATTATTGACAGATTTATTCGATCGATGTGTAGAACAATACGTATCGTTACCCATGTGTAGTAGTATAATATTACAATAGTATTAACCACAAATAACATCTTCTCCTACCGCTAGGTGGCGCACCTAGTTAATAATATCGATCATCATTGAATAACCTGTTAATTAATGAAACTAACGGATAACTCACGTATTTAAATCGAATTGTTGCTCTACATGTTTCGAACCATTTCGTGGCCCTTAATCATGAGATTCTACGGCGGTGACTTGACGGAAACTGCGCGCCAAGGCCCTGGCTGCCCGATCACACAGTACGACTGCGGGCGCAGGCGGCGTCGGCGAGCAACTACCCGAGGGTAGTTTGCTTCTTTTTTTATTAAAGTCACACGCAGATTTGTACACTACACTAACAAAGTTTCTAAAGTCGTCCACACTAACTACTCACGTAGTACCTAACTCTATTTTCCAGCCGAGCGGTACCAACCATCCACTATCACGATTGAAATTCGAATGACGACACTTTATGAAAAGAAATATGCGTCGAAACCGAATCCAATGAGTATTCTGGTTCGAAACATGCCGAGCAAAAATTGGACTTAAATGCGTTTTTTATTTATTTATAATATTAAGTGCCGGGACGAACAAGTCGTGCGCCCGATGGTAAGCTATACGCTTTGCAGTTCCACTCAGAGCTTTAAATCCATTGACTTACAATTATATGGACGTCGGGTCCGCGCTAAAAAGTGTCCGAACTTATATGGCGTTAAAATCGTATACAGAGCGTCCTTCACGCTTTAGTCTTCGTTTGTTTGACTGACAGCGAAGCAAGCAAAATTAGACAGTACTGCGATGACATTACAATTTAAATTCAACGTTTTAGCTTTTTCATATTCCTTTACATGTCACTACGTTTAAATAGGTTGACTTGGGACATATTTTTCGTGGTTTTGTATTAGACCCGTCGTCCATTTATTTGTAAGTCAATGTTTAAATCGTAAAGATTTGAGAGACACTGCCACTGCGCCCGTCGCCCAGAGACATAAGTTGACAAGTTCCATGTGCCTGTAATATCACCAGCACCCTTACCCTTCGAAACCGGAACACAATAAAGCCGACATTACTGCTTGGCGGCAGAAATAAAATGTGATTAAATAAAACGTGAGTTATCAGTTAGTTTAGTTAATATATCTGAGTCATGGTGGTTTTCTATTTAAGAGCTCTCACGCCAAAAAAGGTTTGACGTTGGCTCCGCCCAAATTTGTGAAACAAATATATGCCTGAAGTTCGCGTGGCATGCGACAGGAGATGTTGAATTTTGCGCATTAAAAGTACCAAATTCGTTTTAGCGGAATAACTCTAAAACGCAAGGGATTAAAAACAAATCCGTAGTGATAGTTGTCGATCATGCATAAATATAATTAATTATCTAATTTTTGTCCTAATAACCTGTAGCATTTCGAGGATAAATCGGAAAAATGTGAAAATTAGAGGTCATTCGTGATTTTTATCTATCGAGGAAACTTTATTGTTTTATGTTTCTGATTAATGTCTATGCTTGAATATATCGTGTAGTTACTCATACAATATTTTATTTTTAAGTTTAAAGTGGATATTCCCCTCTAAAATCAAATCGAAGATTAGGAATTTTTCCTCTGCTCCCTCTTAAAGAATCTGTTAATTGTTCACACAATACTGACTTGTGCTGTAAAGCTTGATGCGCCTGCTTGAGCTGATGATAGTCCTGCCTCCGCTGGCGGTCAGCGGCTGCAGCGGCTGCCAGGGCCCGCTTAGCCTCCGCCTCGGCAGTCCGCGCCGTCATCAGCTCCGATTTCACTCGTCTGAGCTCCTCGGCGCATTCACGAGCCTCGCGCTGAAGAAAAGTTGTACAATTTTATTAGACGATGATGTACAGAATTCATTTCGTTCTAAACTAAAAACATCGTACTGTAACAGAGTCCAGGGGGGCCGTGACAAAGGGGCTCGTGTCGACAGTGAAGGAAAAACGCTTAGTTAAAGTTAAGCCTTTAATAAAGTTTAAGTTTAAAGTACAGAAGGGCGTAACGGGAGTGTTCCGGTAGGTGCTCGTAGACAACCCGATCGCAGTCAATAGTTCAATGTGGTCCAGTAGGAGCCACACACACATTGAATTCAGAATTAACAAATAGATACTTTGCTCATCTACTTATGGTGCCGAGGGAAAATCTTAACATCGCGTTTTAGGAAATAGCCTCAAAGTGGTCAATGCCATCTAGCGGCGTCGCGTGGAACTAACGCTCCGTTACAGTACTGTAATTATCTTGGAATATCTATTTGGTTCTGACTATTTACCAACAAGATAATATGGTGCCTCTCCCGATTGATATAAACTGATATTGCTCAAATTTTTAAATACAAATTCAAATCTTTATTTCGGACAAAATATCCATATAGTGTTAGTCACAAATTATTAACAAACTATGTTAATATAAATCCTCTAAACATTGACGTGTACTCGTACCCATTGATATAATATGGGCCCATCGTTCCTATTGGCCACTGTACGAAGAAGGCCATTGGCGCTGCCCCGCACTCTGCGCTTTAGGGACGCTACCCGCTTCCGCAAAATGGCGCTAAAGCCGTCCACTCGCGCCTCGGTAAACATTCCCGAAGCGCTACAGGCAACATATTTTCGGTTATCGGCAAAAATATACATAATTCCATTAAGAAAGAAGATGTCCATAATATTAACCTTAGTGCTAAGTCCAAACTTATGGTACCACGATTTCGTTTAACTAAGGTTTTTTTTTTTAAATATTAGTCATGCATCTGATGGTAAACTACACGCCTGTCCACAACAGTTGCAGTGCCTGACCTTTAAATCGCAAAGATCTGAGGGGCACTGCCACTGTCTTACAAAAGTTGACAAAAACCGGAACTCAGTAATGCTGACATTACTGCTTGACCGCAGAAATAAGTAAGTTCTGCCACCTGAACTTCCCTGGATGATACCAGGTAAACGATTCTTATAATGGGAACTGTACATATACGTTTTTACAACATTCCAGACCATTAAGATTATCATTTCCTAAGTTCAAAACCTAAATTAGAAGACTATCTGTTAGATAAAGAATTATGGAAAGACGATATGACTCTAGGGGGTCTACTCTCGATCTCCGTCCGACATCCGTCCGAAACAATTACTGTCAAATAAGTAATATTCGACAAAATTAAAAGACAAGTATCCAGTACGAAGCTTCATTCGCATCACGCGTCTTTTCATTTGGTCAAGTATTGCTTATTTGGCAGTAATTGTTTCGGACGGATGTCCGACACAAATATGATTGAAGTGTATTCCATAGCATTTATTTTGAAAAGAGCAACAACTAGAGTTTCTTGCTCGTTATTCTCAGAGAAGTCAGCATAGTGAACGAGGAGTAGCTTAGTGACGTTTTCAAGTGTAAATTTATTTTCCAATGGAATAAAAGATTATGTAACTTTGACTTTGTTTAACACTTCATATTTTGATCTACAGCTATTATCAATCTCATCCCATCAATGAGTTGTAATCATAAGCGAAAAAGGCTTATACGCTTATGGCTTTTAATTATGAAATATACGAAGTTATTGAAAATAGGTACGATGTCGTCGAAAACCCTGAGCATACAGCTAACATAAATGCATACCATTCTTATTCAGTTAAATAAATATTTAAGTGGATAATATTTGACAATATATTTATTTATTATTAAAAACAATATATTTAAACAAGTGTGTTATTTCACTTCTTTTCAATGGACATTTCGACGCCTCCTACGTAAAGTATCGTATGTCGAAATTGCCAAGTTTACAGGGGAGTGTTTTAAAATTTCAGTTTCATTTGGCAAAGCTTGTTACTCACATAGAGTGATCATCTAATAGATCATCTAACCGATATCTAGGATTTTATGATACTCAACGTGTGTTACGAGATTTGCCGAACAAAAGTGAGAAATCTAAAGTCACGTGTTATGCTTATTTCAGTGAATTCAGAACTTTAAAAGGCTCCCCTGTAAACTTGGCAATTTTGACATACGATACTTTACGTGTGAGGGGTCGATTTAGTAGTTGACTGCTGAGTTCAGAACGCCATCGCAATCACATATAAAAACTTGACGTGACAAAATCATGCATTCATTTCAAAAGGAAACCTTGAACACTGATTTAGGAATCCATTCAAAACATGGCCAACGCCATCAAGCGGTGTAATTGAAAAGATTGTCTTAAGAGCATACCATGTTCAAAATCATTCGATATTCAATAAACAATAGGCGTCAAAAATCTTACCGATTCGCGTTCTCGTTCCCGCTCGCGCTCCTTCTCTCGCTCTCTCATTTCCTTTTCTTTCTCCCTCTCTCTTTCTCTTTCCTTCTCCTTCTCTCTCTCCTTATAACTGCTGCTGCACTCTTTGTGATTTCTTATGTGATTTTCTTTTGTACTTTCTACATCTTTAACTATTTGTTCTTTTGCTGAAATTAGAATCATATTTTTGTTAATCTTACTTATAAAAAAATCAATTAAATTTGAACCTTTAATTGTGAAAGAGGTTTAATTAAGTGTACGAGGCAAAACTTTGTAAATAAGAGATTTAGGATGAGGTCATACGTAAGTAATTTAGTAAGTTGTGAGTTGCGTAATATACGCTGCAAACGGTTTCATATAAAAGTCCGGTTCACGACGACGCAAAATGAATTGTCTACCAACTACGCGCGTAATTAGGACTGAATTTTGGTCGCACTGTGCGACGTGCTGGTGTGGGTGGAGGAAGGGATGAGATGAAGATATGGATACTCACTTTGCTCTGTATTCTTATGACTATCACTATGATTATCCTTATCTTTATCTTTGTTTTTATTCTTTCTTTTTTCTTCTTTTAATGTACTAGCCTCTTTCTTTTCACATTTCGATTTCGAACCACCTGAAAAAAAGATGTAATATCAGTAGAAAATTCAAATTAATTATTGTGGTTTTTCGTAAAATAACTCCTCCACTACGTTTGTTAAGGTTATTAATACAAAGATCGAACACTGAAAAATTTTGTCCCACCAGGTCGAAGAAACTAGTGATTATTTCCCAAAAAACTGAATACTACATTTCGCACCCCTCATGGAAAAATGGCGTAAGTGGAGTTACGTCAAAAACGGTTATCTGCTCTATTAGATAAAGAAAAATATAACCCACATCATCTCCAATTCTTATAAATCTATCTACAATATTAGTCGATAGAGTAGATCTAATAGAGCAATAAACATGTTTAACGTAACTCGACTTATGCCATTCTTCCAGGAGGGGTGCGATTTGATCAAATGCGTCAGTTGAGGCATTTGTAAAAATACCGGCTGCGGCGAGGTTTTTGAAAAATCTCTCACTAGATGTCACTAGCGGCGACGAATGCCGAAAGCCAATACAAAGATCTATAACAAAACACAGCAGAATTTCGACTGCTCCTTAACTGGACCAGTAGCTCAGTTGGTAGGAGCAATGCTACGGTGCAGCATAGACGTGGGTTACAGTCCCACTGGGTCGACGAATTTTTCTGTGTGTTCGATCTTTGTATTAATAGTAACAAATTCAAATTCATTATATCATTATTTCTCAGAAATGCAAACCAATTTATACAAGGTAACTCTATACTGGGCATCGCAATATAGATTTCTACGACTGACCTTTACTGTGTTCGTGTTTGTCGTCTGCATCGTGCGCGCCGGGCGCCGTGCCGTTGCTGTGCGCGTGTGTCGCAGACTGCGCGTGTGCCGCCGTTCTCGCTGCCTTTTCTTGCAGGTGTCGCTCTAGCTTATCCAGCTGTAATATTGATTCAATTGAAGTCTTAAACTATTCCAAAGAGTTTCACTTTTTTGTACTGGAACCTATAACCAAGACGGGATCAGGACGACTTAAGTCTCTAATTATGATCTGTGTTCAACTGCAGAAAGTGTGTTCATCGCGTCTGTACGCGAGTACCTATTTTCGAAAATTTTTCTGACAAAAAATCTCTTTCCGCTATAATTTTATGGTCATTCCCGGACTAGTGTTCACTGCCTTACTTCCCTGGCAATTTTCATTATTTAAATATTCAAGTACATATCGTGTAATTATGAAATAATATTTCATGATACAATACTGGAATATTAACTACTATTGCACGATAAAAAATTTGCCACGGAAATTAGGTAGGTATAGTGTTATATGGTGTACCAGAATCCGATGGCATTTAGGCAAATTTAAATTTGTAGTGGGCAACATCAATATAGCAGGGAAAAATGTACTAGATACTTCATACATTTTATAAGTTCTGTAAGAATTTGTGTGCGCGAAACATTGACTTACAATTATATGAACGTCGGGTCCGCGCTAAAAAGTGTCCGAACATATAGGGCGTTAAAATCGTATACAGAGCGTCATTCACGCTTTAGTCTTCGTTTGTCCGACTGACAGCGAAGCAAGCAAAATTAGACAGTACTGTGATGACATTACAATTTAAATTCAACGTTTTAGCTTTTTCATATTCCTTTACATGTCACTACGTTTAAATAGGTTGACTTGGGACATTTTTTTCGTGGTTTTTGTATTAGACCCGTCGTCCATTTATTTGTAAGTCAATGGCGCGAAAGGTAAGTAATTTCTGACACAATTTAAAATGAAACAAAAATATATCAATTACATGGGTGATAGTTTTATTTACGTTTGCAGTTTGAAGTAACTCGCATTTACGCCATTTATATATATTTTATAAATAATTGTCTACACACTGTAGTCTTGCTGACCAGCACCAGTACCAACAAAAATTACACACCACAAACATTGATTTGGCTTCGTTGAAATCGGCAACATTTAACCCGATTCTGAATCGTAAATTGTGACTTAGATGCACCTAATTCGTCGCTGATTTTGCCATATACATGATTACAATGATTTTTGCTGGAGATTGAAACGGAGTAATTATCATAATATAATTGTATATTAGGAGTTATAGTAGTAGCCTTTGCTGGTCGAAAAGAGAAGTTCGCGCGTTAAAGAATCGTATGCGTGTTTCGAATACGACAATTTGACGTTCGATTCGGTTATTGTGAATAAAAATGAAAAGAAACAGTATCAGAATCAGAATCATTTAGTACTACAGCAAATCAAATCGGTCGACAACAGAATTATCGTAAAGTTCTGAATGGACCTACTGGTGAAAGTCATTCGATTTTTGTAATATTTAATGCCACGAGATTCTGGTACACATATAGCTCAAGGTACATCAAAAGACGCGTGAATTGATTCTTCCGCAGATGTCGCAGATGTCCGAGAACAACTATGACCACTTACCATTGACCATCCAGTCTATCCGTTGAGTATTTTATAAAAGTATATATTACAAACCTTGGCCTGCAAGACTGCAGGATCTGGCACACACGAGCCATTTGACTCCGTCTTGCCCACTTTGCGCCGCAGTGAGCCATTCATGTGCCGCGTATCGTGCGCGTGCGCATGCTTTTCTGTCGCCGGCTGCGACTGCGGCTGTGGACACTCGCCATTTGCTGTCGAGCTCTGTGTCCGTTCTGACTCTTTTGTTTGTTGATTCTGTTGAAAAAGTGTATATGATTATTTGTTACATGGAATACTCTTTTCGAGTTGCTATATTCTAATTAACTGAATACAGGGAAGCTATTTATGATTACTACATATTGACTGTATGTATGGTCTTTATAGGTTATTATAGAGAATAGTAGCATAGTGTAATATAAGACTTAGTAGAGAGACTCCCGCCTACCCATCGCTCGGAGCGTTGGGTTCTCAGATTATTATATAAATAGATAATAAATATAGGCAGCGGTCCCGGGTGCGATTCCCGGGCGGGAGAAATATTTTTATGAATGAAATTTATTTATCTTGTGAGTTTGGGTGTAATTTGTGGTTATTTATGTGTGTGTCCGTGGCACCGGCAACACAGGTTTCCCTAGTGCGGGTCTATGCGTCATTTGTTTTTTTTACATGCAGTACTTGGATGTTAATAGTTTTAGTTACCTCGATTATGGGAATATGATTATGAAATAGAAATCCACGATTCTGAATTTGAGACACTCTCGTTCAAACAACCATAAACACGTCTTCTATTTAAAGGCTTCAATTGGATAATAAAGTTCAGGAATCCATTATTGTTTTTTATAAGAAGTTGTCTACAAATAAAAAGACAACATGCCTTCGATATGTTTGTACACTTATTTTGTTAATGTCAATTTCTATAGAACCAGCGCACAAATACATATTAATTAAGAATTACAAACCTGTTCTAACGCGCTCTCGGGTAACGCGTCCTTCATTAGCTGGAAGTAGAACTCATTTTCGGCGCGTACTTGTTTCTGCCGCCTTAACCGCAGCCTGTGCCCCACGTACGACTTTACACCGAAACCGAGAGTCACCACTGGGTAACCGACACAGTGCGCGGCCAGCGGCCGACAGAGCTCCAACCCCCCTCCCGCCACCCCGCCTCCGCGATCTGTCCTTAGCGCACCCTCTACGTAGACTAGCACGCAGCATATTGCTACAGTGGGTAGACATATGCCTTTGTCTGCAACTAAAGGACAAAAAGAAAATAGGAGCTCCATTAAAAGTATCTTGATGCTAGCTGCACAATAGATTTAGTTGTCTGTCTTTTCTACCACAGGAGGGGTAGGCAGAGACCACGGAACGCCATTTTGCTCTATCCTGATACAACTCTCGAGCCTCACATACATCAACTACCCTTTTCATACAACTTCTTTTATTCTTGTCACTTCGGAACCCAGCCTTTTTGAGGACATCACTGATCTGATCAATGTAAGGTGACCGTCAGGGTGCATGGTCGCTTGTGGCATCTGGCACTGAGTGTATATTCAAGAATTGCTATCTATTTGCTACCTTTTCTAAATAATTGCTACCTTTGATAATTCTGAGAAATTAAAAAAATAATTGACCAGCCATTCTGACATCAGGATGGCTGGTCGCCACTTTGTTTAGCATGAAGGGAGCAGATTTTCCAGAAGTATGTATTACCAATAATTGCTACTTATTTGCTACTTTCACGAATTAAAGGTATACGCTTCTTATCTACATCAGTTAAAAAAATATAACCGATTGAAAATTTCACTTTTAAATTTCTCAGAGTACCAATTTCAAGTTCCTCAGAATATATCAACAGCAGCAACTATTTAGAAAAGGTAGCAATTCTTAAATATACACTCAGTGCGAGATGCCACAGGCGGCCAGCCATCCTGACGGTCACCAATGTAAGTCCTTCTGAGACGTCCTCTGGAAACCCTTCCATCCACATTTGCAACATAAATCTATTTGGTAATTCTTCTTACATCCATCCGCTCTACACGCCCATACCACCTCAACATTCCTTTCTCTATTCTAGTCACTACATCCTCTTTCAAACCACATCTTTTACGTATTATTGTATTCTCACTCTATCACTCAACTTTATTCCACAAAATTTCCTCAGAAATCTCGTCTCCACCGTTCACTCTACTTTCATGTTTCTTCTGTCATACTCAACTCTCATTACCAAAGTCAGTGCAGGAACCAGCAAAGCATTGTGTATGGAAATGTGTGCTTTTTGGGATAAGATGTTGCTCCCCATTGGACCACTTATGGCTCCATTTACTGTGTTTCCCTTTCGTACCCTTCTTTCAATGTCCTTATCAAAATTTCCATCTCTTGTAAACACACTACCCAGATACAAAAACTCATTCACTTGATCAACATTATAGTATTTTAATCTTACATACCGTCGTTCTCATTTCTTTAAAAATCATCACTTTCGTCTTTTCTGCATTAATCTTCATATCAGTAACTTATGAAAAACTGGAAATATTTTTTGTCCGAAATAACGTTTGAATTTTCATTACACCGAAAACCGAATTTCGTTTCGTTATACGAAACAGTTGTGCTTTCAGGATATGTTGAATGTCTATCGCAAAGACACGATTACATTCGGTTAGGTTAGGTTTAAAAGAAAAAACATTTTCCTCTCAAAGTTACTTTCGAGGTTATGAAATTTCGACCAAACGTTATTTCTGGAAAATAGCCCTCTTTCTAAACGACTCACTCATAATATCCAGCAATTTTTTGCAATCTCTTCTAAAATGAAATTCAAATAATGAAAAAAAAAAAACATGCCTTTCCCAAAGACCGCAACAGTTACCAGTGTTACGCACCTTAATTTGCAGTAGGCTCCTTGTGACAGATATCGTCCAGGGAAATAATCCAGTAGTCCAACCAGTAATTTGAGCGTTGTGTTCCGGTTTTGGAGAGTAAGGTACTGGTGAAATTACAGACACATGGGACTTGTCAACTTTGTCTCTCGGTGACGGCAATGCGCCTCAGGTCTTTGCGATATAAATCCCTGAGTGGCACTGTAACTAATATGGACAGACGTGTTGCTTATAACCAGGCGCACGACTTGTTGGTATCACAAAAAAAAAACTAATTAATACTGTTTCTATACAATACCAATTACGACATTCTATTTACCTAAATATTGGGCACATTAGGTGCAATGTCCTGTACAACGTATTTTATCGCGGTTTTCCGGTTCACACGTTGTTTGCCATTGTTTTTTTTTGTTTAGTACATATTTTATAGTATTATGTATTACGTCATTCATAACTGTCATCCCATAAACGCATTTACATTTTTTTTAATAACGGTTGAAAAAATTCTTAAACGTGACGCCGGCCGGCCTGTTGTTTGTGGCTAGCCAGGTGGTTGATTGATGGGCGCGGACTGACAGAAGTTGAATTCGTGATCTTTTGTTCGTAATGTATACGTATAATAGATTCCAGTTGATATTTTAAATTCACCATTTGTGAGGGTAATAGTATTGTGTATCAAGGGCGGTAAATAAAGAATTACGAACGAGACTCTATTAGAAGCCCGAAGTCGAAGGCTGAGGCCTTGAGTAGAGGTTGGTAATTCCCGTACCGCCCGTGAAACATACAATGTTTCTCATCACACTTGTGCGTACATAGTATGGTAACATGCAGGCTAACTTGACTATATTGCCCCAAATAAAGACCCCAGGCCTTTTTTCATTTCATTACAGCCATGATCGTGTAATGGGAAGAAATGAAGCCCGAGGGTTTTGTTTGGGGCATTATAGTCAAGTTAGCTTGCACGCAATCATATTATTCAAGTGTGATGAAAAAACTATAATGAAACATAAACTTTACACAAAGGTTTTTTGGCAACCAGATCAACTGCCTGGTCTCAAACAAGGGAAGAATAACCCCTAGAGTTTTCTACACATTTCTTTACAATGGAACTTGCCTTACGTAACAGAGATATTTGGAGAACAAAGACTGAAAGGAATTAATACATAAAAAATATATTATATTTCGTGATCATTTTTAATTTCTTTTTGATTTTCCTCTCGTCCGTTTCCTAACATTTTACTTTGATATTGGCACAAAGTATTCTAGTGTCATTAATTATAAAAACAAGATAATTTGGATTTAGAAGACGTCTATATACTATCGCCTTCAAAACACCTACACACATCAAAAAAAGTTTGCGATCACTTCGAAAAACTGAAATCCTTTTTGTTACTGTAGATTATATTATGATTTTTTCTTCTTTTTAGATTCTTTATTTAAAAATAAATTAGAACATAAAACAATGACCCCGTTCAATTGTTTTTTCATATAAAAAGGCTTTTAGTCCTAGCTTACGCTCATTCAGAAATCTGATTTAGTCAATTATAAGCGATTCAAGATATTTTTCGCGGAAAGTTGTGATTGAAAAAATGCCAAGAGGATTATCAGAGGTTTTACGAGCTAGAATAGTAACTTTGAGGGAAGAAGGATACACCACGAGAGTAATAGCACGCAGACTTGCTATATCCCAATCCTGTGTCGTGGCTACGTTGCAGAGGTATCACGGAATGGGGAATTTAGCTGACCGACCCCGCAGCGGTCGCCCAACTGTTTTGACAGCTGCCCAAAAGCGCTATATTAGATTGCTGGCAGCCCGTGATCCAACAATCAACGCCACTAAAATAAAAGCAGAAGTCAGGGCCGCCTCTGGGCTTGAAGTTAGCACGCAGACCGTTCGCAATTGCTTGCACCAGGCTGGATTACGAGCACGGAGGTCTTGGCGAGCTCCGCTCAATTCCCGGCAACGTCAACAACGAAGATTGCAGTGGGCTAGACTTCGGCAAAATGAAGACGGTGAGGACGAAAACATTTGGCAAAACTGTCTCTTCGTTGACGAATCCCGAATCAGCACTCATCCAGATAACCGACGTGTCCGTGTCTGGAGAAGACCAGGCGACCGTGAAAGACAAAGAACTGCCACTGGAACAGTTCAGCAAGGCGGAAAATCGGTGTCCTTTTGGGGTGGCATTATGATTGGAGCTAGAACGCCTTTGATCCCGTATCGGGGCTTCATGACAGCAGACATATACAAAGCAGTTGCTATTGATGATATCGTCAGACCATTCCGAGTCAACCATGGGCACCAATTTGTACTGGTCGATGATAATGCGCCCGCACATCGAGCTCAACGAGTCAATGCTGCTCTTCAAGAATACGATATCACACGATTAGACTGGCCTGCCGGCTCGCCCGACTTAAACCCAATAGAGCACGCGTGGGATGCTCTTAAACGAGCAGTATGGAACCGTGAGGCACGTCCCCAGACAGTTCCAGAGCTCAGGGAAGCCGCTATTGAAGAATGAGATAGGTTACCCCAGGAAATGCTGGATAACTTGATCCTCAGCATGCCCAGGAGGATCTTCGCATGTATTCGAGCCAGGGGAGGAGTTATTTTATATTGAATTCACACCTTTTAATAATAAATTGTTGTTTAAGTTTAATTAAACAGTCTTTTTCTTTCTATGAAATTTCTATCACTATTACATTATGATTAATGGGTCAATTTTTTAAAATAAATAATAAAAAATAGTTTTATATTTTAATTTCAAACAGGGTATTCCTATTTAAAGAAAGCATACAACATAGATTTTTCTTGATAAAGTTAAATTTAAAGAATTATAGGAGCTTATGCTATTGATCGCAAACTTTTTTTGATGTGTGTATGTTGTATTTATCTAGATTAGTTATTCATGTTAAAAAAGGGGAGCCAAGCGAAAAAAGGGGAGCCAAGCGATAATAGGTTATATATCAAACAACAACAAAGATGTAAGCCCGTGGAATTCCATCCGCATTAGCGCGATGCCGCACGAGCGTTGCGCCGTCGCGTTGCAACGCTATGATTTCATAGCACTAAGGGTCGTATTCCAGAACTCTACTCAATGCTCAAGTCAGGACTTAAGCATACTTGAGTGTCGTGTAGGGGTCGAGTGTAGTGTCGATGCGTTGTACTACATTTAAATTAGAACTACATCGGAGAAAGCCCTGTGCTACGCTCTCTGTCCGACATCCGTGTGAAACAATTAGCGCCCAGTTACCCGACGTGAAACTTTTCGCGCTGTTCGCGTGGCGACCGCCCAGTTACCGCGCTTTCACATACAGTAATGGCGAATATGAATTCTATTTACTAGGCAACAACACTTAAATTCCTAGGCATCGCGCA